TAAAAAAAATTAGCTGGGTGTGGTGGTGCATGCCTGTAGTCTCAGCTACGCAGCAGGATCGCTTGAGCTTAGGAGTTTCGGGCTGCAGTGAGCCATGATTGCACCATTGCACTGCAGCCTGGGCAACAGAGCAAGACCTCATCTCTAAAACAAAAAATAGCAAAATAAAATAAAAATAAACGTCTTGGTAGCTGGTTTACCTTCCAGTTCTGAAATCATAGATTCATGCTTGTTTTTCAGCTTGGTAAGATTCTTGGCCTTTTCTTCCTCTTCTGCAAGATTTGTCGTTAAGTCACTGATCCTCTCTTCAAGGAGTTTTCGTTCCTTTTTGGAGAAAGAGAAAGAGATATCTTTAGCATTTTTCTTTTCTTTAGAATCTATGTTTCACTTTTAGTAATTTCCATGTAAACAATTGAAAGAAAAACCCACATTATAACAAAATACAACTATAGCTTTAAATGGTAAAGAGTAGTCCCTCAACAATTTCCAAAAATTAGCCATTTCTCATCTCATGCCAGTCTGTCCCTCACATCGTATGGTCAGCTAAAGGTACCCTCCCCTTCCATTCCTGCCACTGGCCAGCTCTTCCCTGCCCCAAGGCCTTTGCACAGTGGGCCAACCAGCTGAGATGCTCTTCCACTCCCCTCTAACTGCTCCTTCATCTTTAAGTTTCTGCTTAAATGTCACCTCCTCCAGGACACCTTCCCTGAATACCCTTCCTCTATCCCCCACTGCCCTTTCCTTTTCTCTTTTTCCTCTCCCTTTTTCCTTTCCTCCTTTTTCTTGAGACAGAGTCTTACTCTGTCACCCAGGTTGGAGTACAGTGGCGCTATCTCAGCTCACTGCAACCTCCACCTCCCAGGTTCAAGTGATTCTCCTGCCTCAGCCTCCCGAGTAGCTGGGACTACAGGCATCCGCCAACACACCTGACTAATTTTTTGTATTTTTAGCAGAGATAGGGTTTTACCGTGTTGACCAGGCTGGCCTCCAACTCCTGACCTCAGGTAATCCACCCGCCTCAGCCTCCCAAAGTGCTGGGATTGCAGGCATGAGCCACCGCCCCCGGCCTGCCTCACTCTTATAATATGGTGAACGTTTCCTTCGGAGCCCTGATCGCCATGGCAAATCATGGTTATTTGCCATCTCACTGGAGGATAAGCCCCATGAGGGCAGGGTCCTCCTTCACCATGCATACCTGCATCGAACACAGACCCTGGCTCACAGTAGGGGCCAAGTTGACATCCAGCTCAAAGAACTAAAAGCAGGTCACCCTCGTGGGGCTGGTTAGTGACGACTGACTAGGGTGACCAGCTTGTCCTGGTTTTCTAAGGGCTTTTCTGCTTTGAGAACTGAAAGTCCCAAATTCCCCAAATCTCCCTGATCCTGGTAAGCCTGTTGTTTTGAATGCAGAAACTTGATTCCACTTTTTTTTTTTTTCCTGAGACAGAATCATCTGTCACCCAGGCTGCAGTGCAGTGGCATGATCTCAGCTCACTACAACCTCTGCCTCCCAGGTTCAAGTGATTCTCCTGCCTCAGCCTCCCAAGTAGCTGAGATTATAGGCACCGTCCACCAGGCCTGGCTAATTTTTGTATTTTTAGTAGAGATGGAGTTTCACCCTGTTCGCCAGGCTACTCTCAAACTCCTGACCTCAAGTGATCCACCTACCTCGGCCTCCCAAAGTGCTGGGATTATAGTTATGAGCCACCACACGGCCGCTACTCACTTTTGACAATTTATTGTTCTGATCATCCATGACCAGGATCTCATCCTCCAGTTTCTTGATCTTGGCCTCGGCCGTGACCTTCTCAAGTTGCAGCTTCTGCCTGGCAGCTTCCTCCTCCTCTAGCTGCTCTTCAAGGTCCTTTGTTGTGGAGGGAAAAGAGTAACAGCTTTGGTTATAACAAATTTACTCTCATGGTGATCTGGAGACTAGTGAACGCAGGGGTAGGCCTGATGATGCCCAGAACTCTGCAGCCTCCTAAAAGGAAGAAATAAAGGCCTGGTCACGGTGGCTCACACCTGTAATCCCAGCAGTTCTGGAGGCCGAGGTCGGTGGATCACTTGAGGTCAGGAGTTCAAGACCAGCCTGGCCAACATGGCAAAACCCTGTCTCAAAATACAAAAATGAGCCAGGCATGGTGGTGGGCTCCTGTAATCCCAGCTACTCGGGAGGCTGAGGCAGGAGAATTGCTTGAACCCAGGAGGCAGAGGTTGCAGTGAGCTGAGATTGCACCATTGCACTCTAGCCTGGGCAACAGAGTGAGATTCTGTCTCAAAAAAACAAAACAAAACAAAAAAACCTGGGTAAGCTCCTCTGCTTCGTGGAACCTCAATCTCCTCATCTATAAAATGGGCACAGTAGGTACCACAGTGGTTTTAAAATCGACCCACAAATTCTTTGCTACTCCAAAAAGGTGGAGCCTAATTCTCCTCCCCTTGAGTGAGGGTTAGATTTGCTTCTAACAACAACAACAAATCAGGAGGAAGTGATGGAATGTAACTTCAGAGATTAGCCTATAAAAGGTATTGTGGCTTCCCTTCTCCTCTCTCTCAGATCACTCCTTCTGGGGGAACTCTGCTGCCATGTTGGAAGGACGCTCAAGCAGCCCTGAGGCAAGGCCTTCACGGTAGGGAACTGAGGCCTCCTGCCAACAGCTGTGTGAATGAGCCACGTGAAAGTGGGTCTTCCAGCCCCAGATGAGCCTTCAGCCTCAGCCAACACCTTCACTGCAACCTCATGTCAGACCCTAAGCCAGAACCACTCACCTGAGCCACTCCCAAATTCCTGACTATGCAAGATAAACACTTTTTATTTCTAGCTGCTGAGTGTGGCATGTTTTGTTATGTAGCAATAGCTAATAAATACAGTTATCCTCCACTGAGGCTTGCTGTTAGGAGAAAAGGGGTTAGTTAGCACATGCAATGCAGGGCAGTAGAACAGAGTGGGCTCACTGCGTTCAAGTCCCAACCCCAGCTGTGTGGCCTCGATCAGATGACCGAGCCTCACCAAGCCTCCGTCTCATCGTCTGTCCCAGCAGGGACACGTATCCCTGGATGCACCTCCACAGGCCTGCAGTGAGGGTCAAGTGATTTGCCTAGCTACCATGGGCTGCCCCTGTGACAGCTTACCAGCATCTGCTGGGCCATCTTCTTCCTTTCAGCCTGTAGCTGCTGGCCCCTGTCTTCCTCCTCTTCCAGGCGGGCCTCCATCTCATGCAGTATCTCCTCCAGCTCCTGCTTCTTGGCCGCCAGCCGCACCCGCATCTCCTCAGCCTCTGCATACAGCTCGGTCTCTGCCTGCAGCTGTTCCTGTAGCAGGTTCTTCTCCTCAGCCAGCTGCACACAGAGGGTGGGGAGGAGGCGGGTGAGCCCCATGGGGCCAAGTCCTGCTCCCCGGCGGCCCCAGCCACACATCCATACAGGTACCTGCGAGTGCTTCTGCTCCAGCTCCTTAAGCTCATTCTCTGCCTTCTGCTGCCGCTCCTTGGTCTTCTGCAGTTCATCCTCCTTGGCCTGCATCTCCTCCTCCTGCCGTGTCACCTGCAGCAGTGGCTTCACCTGCACACACATAGTCAGCCTGTCATTTGTTTTTGTGGCAAAGGGATATGTTGTCATAATAAATTTGATCGGTGGTTCTGAGCCAGGGACGATGTCGCCCCCACCGATCCCCACTAGGGGATACTGTCTGGAGACACTGGTGGTTGTCAAAACTGGGGTGGGGGGTGGCTGTGGTATCCAGTGGGTAGAGGCCAGGGATGCTGCTGAACACCATACAGTATGCAGGACAGCCCTCACAACAGAGAATTAGTCACCCCAAAATGTCAACAGTGGCAAGATTGAGGAACTCTAAATCAGAGCACCGGAAAAGGTGCAAAGTGAAAGGAAAAAGTCTCATCTTCCCTACTTTAGAACCATCCCAACAGAGAACTACTGCTGAAAAGTGCTATTTCATTCCAAGGACAAAAGGGAAAAGAAAAAATCTTTCATATCCCACCCACCTCCCTATCAAAGTCATTACTAACATTGTTTACATTTCCTTCCTGGCTCTTTTTCTATGTTTAAAAAACAGACTTAAGACCGTGCTGCCTAGTGTTAGCGGCTGCTTTTATTATTTAAAATTATAAGATACAGACAGGCACAGTGGTGCATGCCTGTAATCCCAGCACTTTGGGAGACCGAGGCAGGTGCTTGAGCCCAGGAGTTTGAGACCAACCTGGGGAACATCATGAGACCCCATCTCTACAAAGAAAAGTAGCCAGGCATGGTGGTGTGTGCCTGTAGTCCCAGCTACTGAAGGGGCTGAGGTAGGAAGATCGCCTGAACCCTGGAGGTTGAAGCTACAGGGAGCCATGATTGTGCCACTGGACTCCAGCCTGGGTGACAGAGTGAGACCCTGTCTCCACAAATAAAATTTAAAAAAAATTTTATTTATCACCCCACGCTGTTACATCATTCTTACAACTTGACATAGCCATGTTTTTAAGTTAATGTATTTATTAAGAGATGGTCTTGTTCTGTCATGCAGGCTGAAATGCAGTGACACAATCAGAGTTCACTGCAGCCTTTAACTTCTGGCCTCAAGCGATCCTCCCGCCCCAGCTCCAGAGTAGCTGGGACTACAGGCACATGCCACAGTGTGCAGCTAGACGGCTAGGTAGATGTCTTTTTTTTTTTTTAGCAGACCTATTCAGTATCCAAGTCATCATTTTAATAGCTGAAAACATTCCATTGATGGATGAACCATTATTGAACTCAT